TCCCTCTCCCTCTCTCCCTTCCCCTCTGTTTAAAAATAAATGAAATATTTTTTTTAAAAAAGGAATGATGCACATGAATACATTCTACAATGCTAAGTGAAAGACACCAGTCACAAAAGGTCATAAGTCATACATATCCATTCATATGAAATGTCCCAAACAGGCAAATCCACTGAGACAAAAAGTAGATTAGTGGTTGTCAACAGCTGGGAAAGAGGGAAATGGGGAGTGACCGTATATGAGTATGGAATTTTCTGAAGAAATGATGAACATTTCCTACATACAAATGGGGGAGAGCTGCACAGTCTTCTAAATATACTAAGCCCACTTAATTATACATTTTAAAAACATGAATTTTATTTGCTATGTTAACTATATCTCAATAAAATGTCATTAAAATTATTTTTAATTTAGCCAAAAAATAAACTATTTAGAAGCATTTTCATAATGTAACTTTTTTTTTTTAGATCCTTACCCGAGGATATTTTTTTCACTGCTTTTAGAAAGAGAGGAAGGGAGAGAGAGAAATAATGATGCAAGAGAGAAACATCAACCAGTTACTTCCCATACAGGCATGGACATGGGTCTCATGTGCCCCTACCCAGACAGGGGATTGCCCCGACCAGGAATCGAATTCACAACCTTTCAGTTATGGGACGATGCTCCAACCCAATGAGCCATTCCATCCTGACCATAATGTAATCTTAACAAGGTGGACTGGGTACATAAAAGGACAAATAAATGAAAAAAGTAAAAACTCTCTGTGCTTGAACAGGAATCCTATGGTGTCAATCTCACTATCACAGGATAAAATACAATGCCTACACTCTTTTATGTCTTCACAAAGTAGAACAATCTAATGATTGTCATATAACTTAAATGTGGGTTTAGTTCTTAAAGAGCTCAAAATAGACCAGCCTCTTGTCATGAAAAGGATGGATATATCTGAGCCCTTTTCACTTCTCAGTGCTAAAGTAAAATAAAGGGGAGATAACCAGAAATACATTAAGGTTCTAAGATTCGTTAGGATCTTACTTAAAACAATGGTGGATTATTTTGAAAGCTATACCTATAGATTCTAGACAGGGACCCTATGAATAAACAAAAACAAGAGACTAACCTCATTTGCATGATTAATTTTAACCAGCTCTATTAATCCTTTAGCAATGGCGCTTTAAAGAACAAAACCCAAAATATGCAATTTGAGTCTTTTCTTTAGTACCTTTGATTTTAAAAAGTGATAAAAGCATAAGAAAAATAAAAGGTTTAGATTATTTATAAGTAATATTAAATTAGGCAATTTTTCCTAAAAGCTAAATTCCCAAGAAACTTCTCACATTTATTTGCTTGTCTTTAAGATTCTCCAATAGCAGAGGCGAGTTCAGGCCGAGATGGAGGCGTAGGTAGAGAGAGAGACCCTTCGCTTCCTTGCACAACCAAAAGGAGGATAACCACCAATCTGAAATCTATTTCTGAAATCTGAAACAACCAAAAGTGCCAAAAAATCAAACTGCATGGAACTCTGATGACAAAGGAATTAAAGAAAAAATCAACCAGAACAACCAGACCAGTAAGGTGGCAGACGTCACTGGTCAACTCAGGGAAAAAAAACAAAACAAAACAACAACAACAACAACAACAAAAACAGTGACCTTGGGGGTGGGGCTGGCTGCTGAACTCCAGGAGCTTGCAAGGGAGGGACTGACTTAAGGAGACTGGAAGGTAGATGTGGACTATGGCTGGGGGGGCCACAGTAGAAGTTTCCAGTCTCACATGAGAGTCCCAAAGTCCTTGAAAAGTGCACTAGAGATGAGCAAGCTAGCTGCAGGGTTCCCTCTCTGGCCTCTCCCCCACAGGCAGCGCTGCAGTGCAGCAAAAAGGGTTGCCCCGTGGGGTGGGGGAACTAAGGCCCCACCCCCTTACAACCGATCAGCTGGGCCAAGAAACATGGCCCAAATGAAAGAACAGAGCATAACCTCAAAAAAAGATCTAAGTGATAAGGACATCGCCAGCCTATCTGATGGAGAATTTAAAGCCCTGGCAATCAAAAGGCTCACAAATCTGATTGAGCTTGGTTAAAAAATGAAAAAAACAAATGAAGGATACCCAAAGTGAAATAAAGCAGAAGGTTCAGGGAACCAACAGTGACAGGAAGTAAACCAGGACTCAAAGCATGATTTGGAACAAAAGGAAAAAATAAACATCCATTCAGATCAAAGTGAAGAAACAAGAATTTGAAAAGGTGAAGGGACTCTTATAAACCTGTGGGACAACCTGAAACGTTCCAATATCCAAATTATAGGGATGCCAGAAGGAGAAAAGGAAGACCAAGAAATTGAAAATTTATTTGAACAAATAATGAAGAAAAACTTCTCCAATCTGGTGAAGGAAATAGACTTCCAGGAACTCCAAGAAGCCTAGAGAGTGCCAAGGAAGTTGAACCCAAAAGAAACACACCAAGACACATCATTATTAAGTTACCCAAGATTAAAGATAAGGAGAGCCCTGGCTGGTGTAGCTCAATGGATTGAGCGCGGGCCAGCGAACCAAAGGATCTCAGTTCAATTCCCCATCAGGGCATGCCTGGGTTGCAGGCCAGTTCCCAGCAGGGGACACACAAGAGGCAACCATACATTGATATTTCTCTCCCTCTCTCCTTCCCTTCCCCTCTAAAGTAAATAAAATTGTAAAAAAAAAAGATTAAAGATAAGGAGAGGAGGACTCCTGCCAAGATGGAGGTGTAGGTGGAAGCACTGTACCTTCTCGCACAACCAAGTTTAAAAACAACAAAGTTTTAGTAAAACAAAAAGACAGCCATAACACAGAAAATTGAACTATACCAAAGTCCGACAACAAAAAACCTTCAGCTAGACCAGTAAGAGGGGCGGAGCCAGCCGCTAGTGGAGCAGGGTTGCACAGGAAAACTGGGCAAGACCCACCCAGGGACCCAGGCGCGCAGTTAGCAGTTGGCGGATCCCAGGCGTGGGGCTATGACGGGCAGACCCAGTGAGGGCACAAAGCGGCAGGCTGACCACGGTCACACATTCGCGTGCAGATAAAACAGTGAAGGAGAGAGCAGTGAGACAGACCGTGCAAGCCCCAGCTGTGGGAAGCAGCAGAGGGACCGCCATTGCCCTGCTCTGACCCCGCCCCCACATACAGCATCACAACCCAGTGACCTGAGTGGCCCCACCCTGGTGAACAACTAAGGCTCCTCTCCTCATACCTAACAGGTGCAAACAGACCAAACATGGCTCAAGAAGAACTCAAAGCCCCAGAGCTCATAACTCTAAGTGCCGAAGAAATAGCCAAACTTTCAAATGTACAGTTCAAAACACTGGTGATAAGGATGCTCACAGAGCATTGTGACTAAAATTTGTTGATTTTAGCCACAAATTAGAGGAACATATGAAGGCTAAACTGAAATGAAGGGAAATGCACAGGAAAGAAATGGTAATGGAAAGGAAATTGGGACTCAAATCAAGGGAGTGGACCAGAAGGAAGAAAGAAACAACCAAACAGAAATGAATGAAGAAACAAGAATTCAAAAAAAGGAGGAGAGGCTAAAGAACCTCCAGGACATCTTTAAATGCTCCAACTTCCGAATTATAGGGGTACCAGAAGGGGCAGGGGAACAGCCATGAGTGGAAAGCTTATTTGAACAAATAATAAAGGAGAACTTCCCCAATCTGGCAAAGGAAATAGACTTCCGGGAAATCAGGAAGCTCAGAGAGTCCCAAAGAAGTTGGACCCAAGAAGGAACACACCAAGGCACATCATCATTACATCAGCCAAGATTAAAATGAAGGAGAGAATTCTAGAAGCAACAAGAGAGAAGGGGACGGTCACCTACAAAGGAGTTCCCATCAGACTGTCAGTGGATTTCTCAAAAGAGACCTTCCAGGCAAGAAGGGGCTGCAAAGAACTATTCCAAGTCATGAAAACCAAAGACCTACAACCAAGATTGCTCTATCCAGCAAAGCTTTCATTTAGAATGGAAGGATAGATAAAGTGCTTCTCAGATAAGATCAAATTCAAGGAGTTCATCATCACCAAGCCCTTCTTATATGAAATGTTAAAGGGACTTACCTAAGAAAAAGAAGATAAAAAAGATGAACAGTGAAAGGACAGCAAACTCAGAGTTATTAAGAACCACACCTAAAACAAAAGCAAACTAAGAGAACAGCTAGATCAGGAGCAGAACCATAGAAATGAAGATCACATGAAGGGTTAGCAACAGGGGAGTGGGAGAAGGAGAAGGGAGGAGAAGGTACAGATAATAAGAAACATAGATGGTAGGTAGAAAATAGATAGGGGGGAGGGCAAGAATAGTATGGGAAATATAGAATCTAAAGAACTTGAGACATGTGGTCATAAACTGAAGGGGGGAATGGTGGGGGAGGGGGTGTCCAGGGTGGAGGGGAATTAAGGGGAGGAACAGAACTGTAATGGCATAATCAATAAAAATATTTAAAAATACACCCTGGATGGTATAGCTCAGTGGATTGAGTTTGGGCCTGAATCAAGGGTCACTGGTTCAATTCCCAATCAAGGCACATGCCTGGGTTGCAGGCCAGATGCCCAGCGGGACCATGTGAAAGGCAATCACACACTCATGTTTTTCTCCCTTTCTCCCTCCCTTCCCTTCTCTCTAAAAATAAATAAATAAATAAAATCTTTTAAAATATATATTATAAAATTCTTCAATAGTAAACACAATTTGAAATAAGTGGGTTATTTTGGCTTAATCATAGTTACAAAAAAGTAATTTTATTTTTTAAGAATAAGTAATTTGAAATGGTTTAATGACATTTAACCAACACTGCTTTCTTCCCCCCTTAGATTAACTTCACATGAAAAGTATTAACAGATCTAACACTGACAATTTTGTGCAAATTTAAATTAATTTAAATAGAGGTTATACATTTAAGATTAAGTGCCGATCTTTATAAATGTTGAAATCCTAAACTACTGAAAAGGATTTCAAGGATTCAAGTTACCTTAGGCATTCAATCATGCGAGAAGCAATTTTCTTCCGACGCATCATGCTGAATACCCATATTCGACTGATCCCACAGATTGCAGGCTCTGGCAATGTTGAACAGCACCAGGCTTTTTGCCTTTCAAATCTGACTTTTTCTTCTTCTGACCTGATAACTGGAAGCTTCTCTTCAATGACTCTGTAGCCCTACAGGTGTCAAAATGGGAAAGAATTTTAAAGTGGGACTAGTACTTAGCAATTTTTTAGTGCTGACCTTAGTGAGGAGGTCACCATATTTGTCTGGCTTCTTAACAAACTTATGAGGACCAATTATACTTTCACTCTCATTTTAGGAAATAGATCTGGATCTACATTCTGTTCTAATTTACATCCTTAGTAATGTGACCATGAGAAGAAGTTAAGTTTTGCGTTCCTTACCTATATAGATAATACATACAAAACACCTTGCCATCACGGCTGCCGTAATAGGAAATGATTTTAGTTTTCTCTACCTCCTACATTCTAAGGACAAGCAGAAGTACATACTAAAAACTAAGCAGTCATAACAACTGTTTCTGTGATTGCTGCCATAGTTCTAGGGTTCATAGCTGTGTGGAAACTAGGAAGAGGGATGGCAGGGAAATCAAGAATTTAGATAGGTCTTTTCCTCACACTCCCATCTCCTTAAAAAAAAATAAAGTGTATTAAAAACATACATCTCTACCAGTCTAGATGCAAAAAAGAACTCAGCCAGCCTTCAGATGGGACACAGTATTAAAACAACTGGACAACAAAATTAATAACAACAACAACATAAAAAGCAAGCATTACATAGCTATCTTCTAGTAAAATACTTCTACAAGTCATTTTTAGAACTAGATTGGATGGAAAAAAACCCAAGGGTTATGCAATATGTAAAATTAACTCAAGTTCAATGTGGCAAACTCTCATGAGTTAGCCATTTTATATCACATTTATATCCCCAAACTACCCTATCAGTTGACTTAAATCACTTTTATAAATAGCAAGATTCATAAAACCATACAATTTCAGGCTGAATTTTCTTTTTAAAAAAGTAGCTTAAAATATATAGAAATTAATTCACATAGACTTATTCTGACTTTCTACTTTATTGGAAAATTTCATGATAAAGCACACATTTATAGGCAAACTATTAGTATACTATAAGATACCAAGTAAACAGAGGTCAAATCCAATGTACACTGAATTCATCAGCAAGAACTCAGTTGAAAGAAGACAGAAGTCAAATGGGGTATGCCTCAAAGTGAGCACAATTTGGGAGTTCAGAATCTTCTGTTCTCTTAACTTGGTCTGTTACTACTTAACTATTATAATGTGAATGTATCTATTCCTTTTATTGTGATTCTATTGTTTGTTTTTTGTACAATTTGTATCCTAAACACAAGCCAACTACTCATCTAGAGCTCAATGGAAGAAGTTGTGACCTACTCTGGAAGTGGGCAACTTGTAATAAAAGACCATAAAATAAGTATTTTAGGCTCTGCAACCTACCTGGTCTCTATCATAACTACTTAACTCATTCTTTATAGTGGGAAAGAAACCACAGACAATATGTAAACAAATGGATATGTCTGTGTTACAATAAAAGTTTATTTACAAAAACAGTCTAAATTTTTGTAAGGCTATAGTTTGGCAACCCTTTATTTATTCCAATGCTGAAGAGACTAACTGAGACATACATTATCTTAGCACCCAACATAGAAACTTTCTAAATAAAATTTATCAGTACTTTTGACTTATAGAATCTTTATCTTACATACTGACTTGAGAAAGTAATTCCCACAGAAATTACAGTTTAATTGTAGTAAAGAATTACACACAGGAATTCTTGCATTCACAGCCTTCTTTATATAAAATGTTGACAAATTTACTAGGATTATGTTATTTAATATTGCACAGTATATTCTTCAAATGCCAAACTACATATAAACACTCTAAAAATCACTTACCCATTGGATATGTTCTGCAATTAGGCAGCCAACTACTTTTTTGTCATTGGAAATAAAGAGAAGTGTTTTAGTTCTGGAATAGCACATTAGTGGAGCCTGTTGGAAACCTAAATCATTATCAACCATCTCTCTAATTTCATCAACCTGCCAAATAAAGAACAGTATTTTTAAAAATAATTAAAGCATCATATGTATGTAAAAATATACAATTTCAATTCAGTAAGTTGAGTATATCACTCCAAGTAGGACATCTTCTAGTAAGTTCTTTTGAATAACTGTGCTACTGCTATCTTCAAGCCATGTGGACCAATTTGCAAAATGAGGTTAAGTACTACTAAGCGTTATCTAGTGAAAGGTCCTACAACAGGCAATAAGTACATTAGGGCTTCATGCCCTGGCTGGTACGGCTCAGTGGACTGAGTGCTGGTCTGTGAACCAAAGGGTTGCTAATTCAATTCCCAGTCTAAGGCCCATGCCTGAGGGGCCAGCTCCCTCATGGCAAGAGGCAACCACAAACTAATATTTCTCTCCCTCTCTTTCTCCTTCCTCCCCCCCTCTCTTAAAAAAAACCACTAGGAGCCCTGGCTGGTGTAGCTCAGTGGATTGAGTGCAGGCCTGTGAACCGAAGAATCACGGTTCGATTCCCAGTCAGGGCACATGCCTGGGTTGCAGGCTAGTCCCCAGCAGGGGACCCATGAGAGGCAACCATACATTACATTTCTCTCCTCTTCCCCTCTAAAGATAAATAAATAAAATATTTTAAAAAAAACCACTAGGGCTTCCTATTAGAAGCATCACAGAGAAAACTTCACTGGACTCTTAGCAGGGAAGCCACTTTTGTCCCCAAGCCATAACTAGTACTCTCATCAGTAAAACGGGAGTAGGCACAGAGGAAAGAAACACATTTACTCCTTATCAACCATTTATATAGGCCAGGCATCATGCAAAGTGCTTTATGAGCATTATCTCACTTAAATCCAACATCTTTTGAAGGTCTATGGCTCCTCACTTTACATTTGGAAGCAATAAAACTCAAAATTAAGTAACTTCCCCTTTCAAATATGGATATCCAGAAAAAACAAGAAGCAGAAATTTGCATCACTAATACAGCAAATTGTGTTTCTTCTAGTTTATTTCCTAGAACCGTAATCAAAGTCAATGATAAGCTCAAACTTTTGTACGCACTCAAAGTCAAGATTTTTACTGGCACTTAAACTTTAGTTCCTTCCCTAGTTACAAAATAATCTGTAAATATTCAGTCCAATAAATATGGATTTGTGTTACCAAATTTAAAACTCAAATCATCCTTAAGAGAGTTAAGTATTCATACCTCTGACATGCAGACTATCATAATACATCCCTTATTCAATGATGAAAACTCAAATCCTCCTGTTCCTGGAACAGTATCCCATAATACTTACTACTCCTGATTTGATTCCTAAAGGCAAACAACTCACGATACCCTAGATTTTAATTTTTAACCTGTTACTGGATACAAACTAGTAACATACTGAATTGCAGGTTAAGATGCCCTGCCCCGAGGCTAAAATGAGGAAATCAGCCTTTACTGAGGATTCTTACTAATAAAAAAAAAGTGTGGACACTGCTGCACATGGTGGTTTAGCAAACTCCCACTGTGTGCTTCCAAATGACCATGGTTAGAATTCCAATAATTCTGTAATTTAATTTTCACTGAGTCAATCACTAAGCCAACATTAATTCAACAAGCATTTGTTTTTGTACAAGGATCAATGTTTCAAATACAAGAGAGGTGGCATGTTTACATGTCATTCTAAATGCTAGTCTGCACTATTAGGCAATGGTAGTATGGAAGCTTATTTGGGCATCTGGGATTGTCCAGTCATATTTACAGTATTATCTAAAAAGTCAGGAATCGCAGAATAAACTTTAAGTAGAATGTTAGCTAAATTTTCAAATAATAGTTCCAAGTATTTCTCTTCAGGTGAAATATTCCTAAATTTAAAGAGGTCCAATTGTTAACCTAAAAAGAAGTGTATTATTTTCCTTCTGTACCTACACATTCTGGACACACTCTAAGTGTAATTAAGTTTTTCAGAAAAATGACTGAATTCATTGCCTTACATTATGAGGCAATTCTGAAAAAGCTTCTGGGGACTGAAGAAACACATAACATATTATTTAAAAATAAGTTTATTCTCTGGTTTCCTGACTTGTAAAATATTCTATACAATAAAATAGTTCCAGATTTCATTATCTCTCTGGTTCATTTCACTGAACTCTTAAGTATAGAATTCTACATTGCACTAAAACTGGGCTCACACTAGATACCAGGATTTTCTGTAAGTTTTCTGAATAACTCAGAATATATCTTGTTTCTTTCCCTCTTAACATTATATGATTATCTCATGCTTAATTTCAGGATTACTAAGGCCTGTACGACTAGATCCCCTTCAGCAATAACTTTTTATTTAGAAATTTATTCTCAGAATGAAACTTCACATTCATTTTCATTTCCTAAATTATTATGAGTCAAATTTTAATCCCTATGCTTATAATAATTTATGTGACATTATTAATTAACTAACATGTTTTCTACACCATCACTCAAATTACTGATAATACAAAACAGTAAATAAGTCATTAGAAATACATTTCATATGTACTAAACATACTACAAAGTTTAAGCATGATTTTTCAGTTGAGTTGTATTCCTTAAAAGCTTATTTATTTTCAGACTTGGTGTTCAAATTGTGCTATGCTAGCAATGTGTTATTCTTTTAAAATTATCTGCAAAATTATTTTTTCTATTCTACATGAAATTCACTAGAAATTTACCTTTTTCAGGGCATACTTTGGGTCTTCAGGAAGAACCATAATTATCCTGCCATCGGGATATTCAGCCAGAATTCTTTCTTTTTTCCAGCCCTAGATTATAAAAAAATAAATAAAAAAATAAAAGATTTTATGTACATTTCATTCATCACGTTCATGTACAAGAAGAAAAATACATCAATATGTATAAAAATTGCAAACATGAAAAAATATGCTCATTAATGTTTAACTAATAACAAAATAAATCAGCTATTTTGTTAAGCATACAATTGGTACAATGCAAGGTAATTTCTTTTAAACTACTCACTCAGAGATACCACAGGAATAATTCTAATTCATCATTTCCCATTTAATTAACTTTGAAAATCGCACATCAAAAGCAAGCCCCTTAATGTCAGTGATTCCCAGAACCTAAAGGATAACTCTCCTATTTTGTTGATAAAAGACATAAACTCTAAAATTTCTTTGTAACATGGTTACCTCCACAAACAAACACTCATGATTTTATGTCTAGCATGCCAAAGACCTCCAGGAGGTTTTAAATGAACTGATTTGCATGCAGTAGTCCAACATGTAAGGAGTAAGTGTTTATTCTTATTGATCACAACTATCAAAGTCACAAGAATGAGACTATAAAAATATAACTACCTTCTAAGAATCTAATAGGGAAGGAGAGGCTACGTTGTGTGTATCTGAAGTTAAACATACTCAAAAAAAGAGAGGTAATAAACTCTTCTTCAGATCCACACTCGTGGTGATTAATGAGCAGAACCTGCATGAAAAACAAAACAAAACAAAAGCCACTTAAATCTAGTAAGATGGGACTGAACCAGAGGTTAAAACTAGGAGCTTTGAGGTTAATAATAAGCACAGAAGGAATGAGCTTAACGGGTTGTTTCAGTTGTCTTACCCAAACAATTTTACATAAAAAAGCCTTTCAAGAAGCAATATGTACTTCTATTAGAGAGAACCATCATCTTCTTTCTGAAATGCTTCTTTTAAGAATATAAAAGCTCAGTGAAACCAAGAAAAGGCAACTACACTGTTTTTTTTAATAATATGGCAAGTCTGAAAGAAGTTTGATTTTATTAAAACAATTCAAAATTATTATTCTGGGAGAGGAACAGAATCTTAGCTGGGACAGAAAGTCCAGGAACAAGCTTGATAAATGTAACAATTTGGATTAAAGTATTTAAAGTCAGAATTTCTTTAAAAAACAAAACATCCAAAGATAAAGGGAAATTCAGGTGATTAAAAGTGTTCTAAGACTTTAAAAGAAGGAGACGCAATAATAGTCATCAAAGTCATTTTTTTCAAATTAGAAACTAAATCTAAATCATAACTAAACCTAAATATAGGTAAACAATTTTTGAAAGGCATAAAAAAATATCACCTCTTTTAAAACAAATTTACATTAATATGTTATTTTTGAAAAGTCTTTTAAAATAAATCTGTTTTCCATATAATAAAAATGGAGATTTTTCATGCTAAAAGTTAAACTACAAATTCAAGAACAGGAAATTTAAGTAACCTCAACTTATAAGAAAGTAGTACTTCCAGAACTGAATTTTCTAAAGATAATTTGATAACCTATTTTCCTACTATCTTTAAAAACAAAAATAATGCTCCAATGTCATTATGTTGCACCACAGGGACTAAACTATCTTGTTTTACTGACTTTTTAGTACAAAATTTTCTCTTAAAACACCAAGACATGCATGTTTCATAGAGAAAATTTTATCACAATTGGATCTGACATAATTTTGTTTTAAGTTTTTTTCTGTACATATAAGAAGCAGGAATTGCAGATGGAAGAGTTATTACTGCTTAGGTTTCTAATATTCATGAAGGCAGCATATTTTTGTGAAAACCTTTTTAGCATTCTGGAGTAAAAATTCAGGATTTAAATTCCTATACTTCGTAGTCACTAGCCATATGGTCTTGGGTAAATCACTGGACCTCTCCTTCTCTTTTCTGAACTAGACTGTGTATGAAACAGCTGTCTTCACCTCCCGTCACTTAGTTCAGATCACCTCCATTACTGTGTATTGATGATTCTTCACACAGGAGACACTCAGGATATCTTAGTAACTTCCATTCTACCTTCCTACTGGTACTGAACTAAGGTCAATGCACTAATCTAAGAAAATACAAGTTAATAAATAAAGTCCCTATAGTTAAATGCAATAATAAATTCAAGTCATGGACAAAAAGAAGATAAAAATACCAAGATGGCTAATGTCTGTAAAATAACATTACTCACGACATTTATATGTCTCAACTGCAGTTAACTCTTTCCTGGGGTCAATAACCACATGATCTTCCTGACTTCAGAAGATTTAGAACAGCAGTCCCCAACTTTTTTTGGCACTAGGGACCACTTTTGTGGAAGACAATTTTTCCAGGACAGGGGCAGGGTTGGAGGTGAAGAGACGGAGAGAACAGGAGGCAGAGCTGAGAAAAGCTTCCATAGTGGCCCAGTTCATCCACAGCCCAAGGGTTGGGGACCCCTGATTTAGAGGGCATGAAGTTTACTTCTTGAAATTGAAACAGAGATGGAAGTTGCAGGGAAAGGTACATATAATCCAAGCAGGGAATAACCACACAGCCACAGCTTTGGGGTAAAGATATAAATTCCAATGCAGTGCATTTACATGTCTCACCTTTAGTTCTAATATGTTACACATATTCCTCTGCTAGCTACTAGTATTTTCCAAGCCCCAATTTTGTTAATTTACCTATTGGCTGCTGCAAAGCACAAATCTTTATAGTTCTAATAGCAATCAATCATTATTTTTTGTTCCATGCTGTTACAGTTACTCTGAATTTAAGAGTTTAAAGAATGGAATCTTTTTTCCATTTTAAAAAGATAACAATTAAAAACAAAATATATTGAGTGGTAGATACACTGATGTGTACAATTCATCAACCATTTAAAATCTGAGCGTTTAAGTGTATGTAAATTATACCCCAATTTTAAAAGCTCATACTAATCATAAAAGGTTGAATGAGAATAGTCATGAAAGTATACCCTGAGAAATAAAATGAAGAAACCAGCTTTTTAAAATGATTAACAAATGTTATTTAAAAAAACACATGAGGGAATAACCTTTAGATTAAGACTTAAGAGATATACCAAGCAACGAAATGTATGAACTTAATTCAAAAGAACAGTATAGAAAATTATACTTAAGGAGTTTCAAACACTGAAGGAATATTTAATATTAAGGAATTAGCTGACTTTTAAAGGTGTGGTGATATTATTTAAATCATTTTATGGTAAAAGGGTAATCTTTTCATCTTTTAGAATACATATTTCAAAGTATCTACTAAAATAATAATGTGATACCTGAGGTTCACTTCAAAATAATTGGGAAGGACCAAGATAGAGGTGTAAGTATAAACACTGTACCTCCTCACACAACCAAAATTAAGGACAACAAAGATTTAGAAACAAAAACAAAAACAAAACCAGAACAGACAGAAAATTAAACTGTAAGGAAGTCCGACAACAAACCATTCATCCAGACCAGTAAGAGGGGACGAGTTGGTGGCCAGCAGAAAGCGGTTGCTAGAAAAAGTGATGGTTGGCAGACCAGGGCGCGCAGGCGCCACAAGATTAGCAGACCCCAGGCACAGGGAGGAAACAAGCAGACCCAATGATGGCTGACCATAGACACACATTTGCGTGCAGATAAGCCAGGCGAAAACAAGCAGTGAGACAGACCGTGCAACCCAGGGCCCCAGTGACGGGAAATAAAGATTAAAAACACCAAATGAAAAAACTTGTGGGGGTTAGGGTGCTAACAGAGACTCCCAGCCTCACAGGAGAGTTTGTTGGAGAGACCCACAGGGTCCTAGAACGTACACAAGCCCACCCACCTGGGGAATCAGCAGCAGAAGGGCCCAATTTCCTTGTGGGAAGCGACAGAGGGGACTGAAATCCAAGAGAGTAATGGAAGCACCATTGTTCCTTCTCTGACCCCGCCCCCACACACAGTGTCACAACCCAGCAACGACATTGCCCCGCCCTGGTGAACACCTAAGGCTCTGCCCCTCATACATAACAGTTGCCACCAGACCAAAAATTATGGCTCAAATGCAAGAACAAATCAAAGCCCCAGAGCCAATACTTTTAAGTGACCAAGAGATAGCCAACCTATCAGATGCACAGTTCAAAACACTGGTGATCAGGATGCTCACAGAACTGGTTGATTTCGGTCACAAATTAGATGAAGAAATGATGGCTACACTAAGTGAAATGAAGGAAAATTCACAGGGAACCAATAGTGATGGATAGAAAACTGGGTCTCAAATCAATGGAGTGGATCAGAAAAAAGAAACAACTAAACAGAAAAGAATGAAGAAATAACTCAAAAAAATGAGGAGAGGCTTAGGAACCTCTAGGACACCTTTAAACATTCCACCATCTAAATTATAGGGGTACTGGAAAAAGAGGAAGAGCGACAAGTGGAAAACTTATTTGAACAAATAATAAAGGAGAACTTCCCCAATTTGGCCAAGGAAATAGACTTCCAGGAAGTCCAGGAAGCTCAGAGAGTCCCAAAGAAGTTGGACCCAAGGAGGAACACACCAAGGCACAACTTAATTACATTACTCGAGATTAAAATGAAGGAGAGAATTCTAGAAGCAGCAGGAGATAAGGGGACAGGCACCTACAAAGGACTTCCCATCAGACTGTCAGTGGATTTCTCAAAAAAGACCTTACAGGCAAGAAGGGGCTGGAAAGAAGTATTCCAAGTCATGAAATCCAAAGACCTACATCCAAGATTGCTCTATGCAGCAAAGCTTTCATTTAGAGTAAAAGGGCAGATAAAGTGCTGCTCAGATAAGGTCAAGTTTGAGGAGTTCATCATCACCAAACCCTTATTATATGAAATGTTAAAGGGACTTAATCTAAGAAAAAGAAGACCAAAACTGTGAACAGTATAATGACAAATGCACAGAAATTAATAACTGAACCTAAACAAAAACAAACTAAGCAAACAGCTAGACCAGGAGCAGAGCCACAGAAATAGAGATCACATGGAGGGTTAGCAACAAGGGAGTGGGAGGAGGAGAGAGAGGGAGAA